TACAATCGTATTACACATCAAAGACGCCTTTTGTGAGCTATTGCAAATAGACATATGCCTATTTGGAAGCAAAAAACCTCTCAGAAATACTACTTGGGAAGAAGAGCACAGAGTCCAGCCAGAGAAGCGATACAAGCTACGCACTCAGGCGTTCACCTTTACCGACAGTGTACAGATAATCTAGAGGAATGTTAAAATTCGAAAAGGGAGAATTCTCGCTTTCATTAGTGGGTCATCGGAACCCACAATTCCCAGAGCAGAGCAAGTACGTTGACATAAAAAAATCTCCCGAGTGGCGTTCTCGCAACTCCCACTAACAAATCTTTTGCGTCAGCCATCAAAAAGCAGGGCAATTAAGAACGAAAGTTATATGCCAGGTAGTTCGTCGAAATGCAAGAAAGTTTAATCTCAATGCAATTAACACAATCCGTAGTTTTTCTCAATGCTAACGGCAATGCTCAGATACACTGACATTGTAGTGCTTATCGAGTATGTTTTACGTGCCGAATGACACCTGTAAGTACTTTCATATAAGCGTTCTCGGTAATTTTACATCCCCGAAGTTTTGTGGGCCTTCTCCTACGTTGCATAGGTATTTTTTGAAAGAGGGAAAGTAAAGCAATTTTACACTTGGTAGTTTTTACGCAACGTATGCCTTAAGGCCGCCTGGACTTAAAAAACTAAAAAACATTTTTTGGAGTTAAATATTTTCTCCTAAAATCCCAAGGCGCAGCTACCAAAGCCTCCTTACTAGCACTTTTAAAATATCTGAAATAAGGCAGTTGAGGAATCACCATGCGGTTTGCTTTTTGGTTATAGATATTTCGAAAAAAGAATAAGCACGAAATCAAAAGGAAAGTTCTTTTTAACCGAGATGCAGATCAATCCTAGCTCATCGCCTCCTCTTTGGCCTTCATATCCTTAGAATGAAGAGACTGATTGGGTTTAGACTTATTTAGTTGTTAACGTCAATGGGGGATCGACATAAAATTAAAGAGATGTGGCCAAATAGCTGCTATCTGGTTTAGGAGGTGTTAAATCCTCTTCACTCACAAGGTTAGACCAGAATGCCTGCCTCTTTTCTGAAATACACATTTAACTAGCATAAGCATGACACGAGGTATCAGCAGCCCTAAGAGCGTAAAGCTGTCGCAACATTTCCCATTAACTGGAAACCGTCGCTTCCATAACAGAAACGGGTGCACTAAGGTTTTCGTACGATTACATCCAACTGAGCACATGTTACTTCAAAATATCGTAGGTTTCTGGCCGAAAACATATATTCAGTTTTTATAAAAATAATAGCAGAAAATTCTGACAAAAATTGTGGTCCCTCGCCACTGAGATTTCATGCTAAAGCAATTCCAAAAATTCCATTAATTAATTCTTGCATTGCATACATTGTTCAATTAGACCAAACCATAGTGTTGTGCACAATAGTGTACATCCTTATATTCAATTTATTTCTAGAGTTTGTTTTGGAACGAAGAAAGCGTTTTAGTTCCGTTTTCAGTACAATCGGTGGTTTTTAAAGCCCGATTGTCAAAAAGTGTACTTTTAAATTGGAAAAGTAGGCCTCGTTCAACAGGGTGCGGATTGTCCTCTCAATGACCTTATGCCGTCCAATAAAAATGACCGTTTCCCGATCATTAGTTTGGCACCTTTTTAATGCTTGTTGTGCTGGTCAGTTAGAATTAAGTGGGATTTCCCATCCTTTAAAAATGTGGTGTCCGTTTTGTTTTCCGGAACACTTGAGTTTATGGGAAAAAAGGAACTGGTAGGTGGGTAGGTTAAGGAAAGGTAAGCGGACCACAATTTAATGGTAGTGTTTACGCAGGAATAACATGCGTTACTCTGGATCGGTACATTTTGGCGAATAACAGCAGCAACCACACCCATTATTGCGCACTCAAAAGAAAGGGCAAAATCACGAGACAAAAGGGTGTGTTCGACGGCTCGAAAACGCCTCCTTTAACCCCCCAATATCACACGCCTATCTGTTGTTTTTTGCCCGATGCAAATTGCTATCCACTGTAGTGAAGTTCTCGTGCTCTCTGAAGGTCAAGTAGTGTGGTCTTTTTTTGCTGGAATGACAGCTAAGTGGCCCAGACTTTTCTTTCGTCAGCTTTCCCTTTCTCGCTGGCCTATGAGCTTGTGGCGTCAAAGTTTGTCATTCTGGTTCAAAGCTTTGTAACAATGTAAAACTTAATGCCTTGCCATACCCATCCCCTTCTTTACCGTCGGAAGATCCGATTTATCAGTTTACAGCGATGGTCTACAATCCTCTCAGTGCATTTAGTGGAGAGTTTACGTCATTTTAGCAGTTTTAGGGATTTTGATGGAGGTCCAAAAGTCCCTCTTGAGCCTTACTATCACATCAGAATCAGACGAACTACCAATTTGTAGGTGTAACCTAATTTTCTACCTTTAGGTCAAAAAACTTAGCTTCAATTTAAGCAACATGAGTTCCTTTATATAATGTTTCCACAAGTGATTTTGATGTACTTAACAAGCGTGGCTGTTTTTTCTACTAAATTGAGCATGATTTCAGGCCTACCTTTTGCCTTAGGAAGCAGCAAAAGCAGTGGCAATCGCGCAACCGCATCCTAAATCAATCTCTTCATCACACAATGTCATGAAATTACGATTTGGGGGATGAAGGGGAAAAAAATGTGAGCAGGTT